GACATCACAAAGGGGCTTAATTAAAATGGATCTTTTTGGTGCTTTATGATCATATGCTCACAGATTAAACACTGTTAAGTAAGATTTCACTGGAAATAAATTCAATTTCAGAACTTTTTCATAAAAATGTGACAACAGCATCTACAGTTAATTTAAATTTAAATATCACTCTGTTAGGCAATAATAATAAAATAATAAATGAATTTGCCTGCAAAAGAATACTGAAATCTTGCGATCACTCCCACAACCTTGCAGTGTGTACTAGGGTTATTATTGTTAACCAAAACTAAAACTAAAACAATTTAAAAAATCTTTACTTGAAATAAATTATATATATTTATATATATATATAATCAATAAAGTGTACTTTTGCACAATTAAGCTTGAAGCCCATTTTATGTTGTGGTCATTTTGGGGAACAAGCTCAAAATGACCTTTGACCCCAAACATGTCATTCAAACCCAAGCAGATTTTACTATAATTTGTTACCCATTCGTGGCAATATAAATGCATATCTAAAATACATTTTATTTTAACATGTGAAAGGTTTAACCATCAAAGCACTTTGCCAGACCCATCTGAGACATATCTGAGAAGCACATTGACTGGGACACCCCAAGAGACGAAGGAAAAAGAGCATACATGGTCCTCCCATTATCATTTTTGCATGGGAGAGAAAGAAAAAACAAGCAGTAATGAAGTGTAATGGTCCACTTTCTCAAGGCACCATATAGTTTCACTCCCATAAATCTTAGCAAACATTTCAGGAGTAAAAAAAAAAGTTTTGCTCTCTTACAGAGGCCCGAGAGAGCTCTCTGCAGAACGTTACTTTGAGGTTTCCGAGATGACACCTGAAGCACAACTTTGAAGTGAAGTAAGACTATCCCTCCGTTTCTGTTGAAATGATATATCGGGTATTGAAGAAAAGAGGAGGCTGGAGGAGTGAAGGAAGGAGAGGGCAACCAAGAAGGAAGAGCAAGGAAAAGTGAGAGAGAGGGAGAAAAGTACAACCACATTCCCTGCACATATTCTCCTCATTACCAGAGAGAGGGAGCCGATCGCTCAATTATTGGCTGCCGTCACAGACTAATATTCCTGCCTGTCAGCCCTGATTTTTGCTTAGTTTTGTTCAGACTCCTTCTGATGGAGCTCATTTCATGTTAATCTGAAACAGAAGGTGCTGTGAAAACGGCGACACCTGATCCTGTGTCCAGGAGACGGGAAGTGCACCATGAGGACTGGTGCCTGCCAATGCACCCTCTCTGCAGACGTCCTCCCTAGGACTCCAAATGGGTGGCGGGACGGGTCAGGGATGTTGGTCAAAGATAATCATGAAAGGGTGCTGGGATTTGATTGATATGAGTATGGAACACCAGAATGTCTGAGTGTTAGAAATGTGCCATTGAACAGTAAAATGCATGTTGTCTGTTTGGATTTAAATTTCTTTAATGTACATTACCTAAGATTTATAAAATGTACTAAATAATAATTAAGGCAAAACACTACAGACAAAACGTTTTTTTTTTTTCAGCCACTGGTCAATTTGGGGAAAATAGTGGAAAGAAAACATCTAAAATACTCTAAAAATTTTTTTTTTTGAATTTTATCTATTTGCATCCATATAGATTTCAATTGTAATATTTATCTTAAAGGCTAGTTCACCAAAGTGAGTTTTTTCTCCACTTCAGTAGCACTTACACCAAACTTTACAGTTTTGCATTTTCCTATTTATATTCGGAAGGTTTTTACACAGTGGTATGTTAATATGGAATTTGCCTGAGAGAGATATATATCCAAAATACTCTCTGTAAAATCCTTCAATATGTCAGCAAAATGAAATGAGAATTTTGAACCTGGCTTCATGTAATGTTTAGAGTTCGACTCTTCAGTTTTTGAATTTAATAAGATGATGCCTCAAACATAACTTGTAATACAAGACAATTGTCTTAGCAAACTGTGATTAATCAACTGGGGGAAAGTATGGTGTACATCTTTTTTGGTCTTGTTTTTACCCTATTTCAGTCTGGGGAATTTGCAGAAAAAGAAAATGTATGTATTTGTGTGTGTATTTATGTATGTATGTTTGTTTATTTCAGTGATTAGTTTCTGTCCTTTGATAAAAGTATGCATTAAATTTAGAATTTCATCATTTATTTTTAGTCAGTTTAATTTGAGTCTAATTTAAGTTGACAAATATGACATTTTAGCTGACCATAATTACGCCACATAATAAAATAATGTTATATATTGATGTAAACAAACAAACAAACAAACAAACAAACAAACAAACAAACAGACAAACACAGAAAATGAAAATGTGAACATTTTGTAAGTTATGTTTGATTAAAATCATTTTATTATCATTATGATGCACACTTTTCATCTTTTTTTATCACTGTCCTTGGTTATGGCTATTTTCATCAGTAATTTTGTTGACGACATTATAGGCGACGAGATTTTTGACGCCTGTTCACATCAAGAACGATAACTATATTAGCATCCACACCAAATTCTTTTGGTGAAATGGAAATTAAAAAAATTATATATATATGAAATTGATTTCAAATATATTGTTACTCTGTGTAATTATAATTATAGCCGTGGTATGGACTTTCTTATTATCACTGAATTAGAATGATTATTAAAACTAAATAGTTATTGTCATGGATATAATCCTTGGTGTGAATGGGCCTCAAAACTGGGAAAGTCTGATGGCAGAATTTAGTAGACAGAATGCACTTTTATTTTGTAGTATGCAAAATAAAAGGGGTTTTCAAAAAAGGGGTAGGGGTTTTCATTTATGGGTGAGCTATTCCTTTAAAAAGCTCTGTGTATTCATTTAGAAAATAAATTGTTGGCGATGTTCCAGTCGAGCTGTATGCGATCAATTGATCAGTTTGCCCGCTCTTGTCAGGGACACCCTCATATTCCTGTCTGTGAGGAGGGCCTGTTTCAATAAAGGGCTTTGCTGCTTCACTCATTTCAAAGGAGTGACTCGTCATTCCCATTTAAGTCTTCCCCCTGTGCTGAACGTCTCTTCCTCGGATCCTCTTCACCCATCATTTCTTCTGACAGATGAGATTGAATTAGTCTGACCTGTCCTCACAGTTTGAGTGTAATTTGGCTTTGACATTGATAGCAGGGAAGATGCCTGACATGAATAGATGGAAGAGAGAGAGAAGACAGAGGAAGGAACTGATCACAGGATGCATGGCAATGAAGGAGGAACTCTGCCTGCTTTTAAGGCTTTGACCAAATAAAATGCATTGCTTGATATTTGATCTCATTATCTCATAGGTCAGTTAGGGATCAATCCTGGCCAATCAAGCAAGCGCTTCATGTGCTAAGACCTTGCAGAGAGAAAACCTCTGCTGTAAAAACACTGTTCTAAAGAAAATTACAACAATAGTAAACAAAATGCTTTTAAATATTAAAATATTAATAAAAAATATATATAGTTTTAAGAATTGTATCTGTAGAATGCATAAAAGGGGTCAAATTAGCCCATATTTATAGCATGACTTACATCCATTTATATGTGTACAACCTTGTGAAAAAGCAGTGTGCTTAATTGTACTAAATGTGCACTTATAGTGTACTTTAAAACTTTCATGACTATATTTAACACACTTAAAGGGATAATTCACACAAAAATGACACAGTACAGTTGCTGTTCATATTTGACCCAACATTGGGTTGAAACAACCCAGCATTTTTTAGAGTGTGGGGACCATAAACTGTTTGGTAACCCACATCCTCCAAAATATCCTCTTTCGTGTTGAACAGAAGAAAGAAACTTACAATTTTTGAAAAACTTGAGGTTGTTGACAGAATTTTCAGTTTTGGGTGGACTAGCCCTTTACGTATACTTTGTAATAATTTCAAATTAAAAGTTTTGTCACACTTTAAAGAAGGGCACTTATTTTGACTTACATACTAGAGTACATCTAGTATGTAAGTCAACACACACACACACACACACACACACACACACACATTATATATTATATATGGTTATAAGTGGATAATTCTGTAAAAAGGTCAATGTATTTACAGCAGGATTTTTTCAGTCCTGGATATGAGCTTCTGTTTCCAAGCAAATCTATGGGATTATTGCCCATTTTATCATCTGCCAAGTGAAAACCCATTTTGAAGATAATTGTAACTCAACAAGCCATAGAGTGCAAGCTGTGGGACAGTGAACTGTGTACATGTTCAGAACCCACATGGGTTGTTGACGTTGGTTTGAGTATGACCTAGATCAGGTTTACCTAGGTCTGTTTCTGTTTACCCTTTATCACACCTCCTCTATCCTATTAAATAGGACTAAAAACAACAACAACAATTTAGGGTTGTGTGTTTGTTCAAGTTTGAACAAACAACTTAACAAGCACTGCTAAAATGGCTATTCTGGGCCTAGGTATCTTGAGCAGACCCAGAACGTAGTGTAAGCAGAAATAGGGAAAGGAAGAGCAGTGTCATGCAGCCTTCAAAGGCACTCTGAGATCTGTGCTGCCATGGCTTTTCTCCCAGCTCTCTGCTACTTATTTACTGCCTATGTGGTCATACATATCAGTGCCAGCAGCCAGTAAACCATTCATGTTTTCCATTTAAGACAATGACTGTGATCATACAGCCTTCTGTACACTTGTGTCTTTTGTAGTCACTCCGGCTTAACTTGTCAAACATTTGTATCCTTGATGTTTCACAAATGATGGAAGCAGAGCTTGGAGGGTTTTGCTAAACCCTCAAACTGATTAGGAGAGAACATGCAATGCATGAGACATCACATAGCACCACTGCCACAGTGTACCATACTATGTTAGCTGCTCAGCGTTTGGAGATCCCTTGCAGTGCTTACCCCTTCATCTGTCTCATGAACTTGAGCTTTGAGACCAATTAGTCTTGAATGCCCTTATTCAAGATTTTAATGGACATTGAACTGGGAGATTAGCTAATGATGCTTCCATTCTCCAAAAAAGCTTGTTCTCCGTAGGGTCTCAGTCGGGGATGCTGAAGCCCATCTCAGCATCCTGAACCACAGGGCTCACATATAAACACACGTTCACTCTCAAACCTACAGACAGTTTAGCGCAGGGGTGTCCAAACCTGTTCCTGTATGGCCACTATCCTGCAGAGTTTAGGTCCAATCCTAATTAAAAACATCTGAACCAGCTAATCAAAGTCTACAGACTCTTCAAGTGTGAAGTTAAAAACTTCAAGTGTGTTGGAGCTGGTTTGAGCTAAACTCGTTTAAGTGGTTTAGTGTCTTCAATTCACCTATGCTGAATGTCTTCCCTGTTGAAAAAAACAGCAGGTATGCTGGTTAGGTATGTTTTGAAGCATAGCAGCTGGTTTGAGCTGGTTTAAACTTGTCCTTAGTTGGTCATGAGCTGGTTTAAGCTGGTTATGAGCTGGTTATGTGCTGGTTCTAAGCAACTAGCTCCTGCTCAGGACCAGCTCATAACCAGCTTATAACCAGCTCAGGACCAGCTTAAACCAGCTCATAACCAAATAAGGACCAGATTAAACCAGCTCAAACCAGTTGCCATGCTTCAAAACAGCATATGCAGTTTCTTTTCAACAGGGGTTGAATTGTAAGAAGCAAGGAAACCCACGCAAACACTGAGAGAACAGAAAAGGCCTCCTGACTCAGAACTCGAACCAATTTAAAGCACCAGTGCAACCATTGAGCCACCATTTCGCCCTGAGATACTTTTCATGTAAATAATAATCAAGTACAATACTCTCATGACATTTTCTCAATTTTCATTCAAATTTTTGTACTGACTGCCTACCTAAAGCTCTATTCATCCCTGTTTTTCACATTGGTACTCAAAGAAAATGCTCACAGCTTTTGATGACATTGGCCTATTTTTGTGAGACTCTTGAAAGGTCTTTAGATTCGTTGCGTTATTTGGAGTACAATCACAACACGCACTCTCAGAAAAAAAATGGTACAAGAGTTGTCACTGAGGAAGTACCTTTTCAAAAGGTACACCTTTGTACCTTATTTACCCCTAATGGGCTCATACTGGTACCTTAAAGATACATATTAGTATCAAAAGTGCACATATTAGTACTTTTTGAAAGGGTACCACCCCAGTGACTGCTTTTGTACCAATTTTTCTGCCATATTGCCGGTCCACAATTTTGAATTTTATCTGTTTTAAGTCCTCCTTTAGGTTTCACCTTTACCAAGTTTGGCTGAGATTATTTCCAGATCATGCTGGCCAAAAGTTATCCAAATCTTGATATACCAAACCATTCTTGTGTAAGTCTAACGTTGGCTAAATCTCTGAAACTCAGTGTACAAATGTTCAGGAACATTGTGCTTCGAAGTTAGAATTGGGAAGCTAATTAAATCTGGGGCCCTGAATCAGTGAGGTGAACTCTACACCAACAGGTCACAAACCTTAAAGAGGAAGCACCTTCGCTTAATATCAGTGTTACACCCAGGCGCTAACTCAATTTCACACTCCTAACTCAGGCCCCGAGCTTGGCCAACATTGCATTTGAGTATGCGTACCATCTGGTCTGGAGTTTGAGAGGAAGCGGCTTGGGTTTTCACACTGATCCAGTTAGGGCATTTTTTAATTCATTAAGAATGTGCTGTTGTGTGTTAACTAGCTCAGCATGGCCAGATCTCAAGCCACTTGTTGACCAGGATATCTCATACCTTACACTCCTTGAACTCCTCGAGTCCAGACAGTAGGGGGTATGGAAGAGCAAAGAGGAACTGCAGAGGTACCTCTTCAACTTCCTGTTTCTTAGAACTCTACACTTAGGGGCAGAGATGCATAGTATAGGGTTCCTCTGCTAAACAAGCTCTAAAACAATAGAGAGCCGGTCCCACAGGCGAGAAATATTGGAAACAGGAGGTCTAATCCACTGCTGTGGAAATGTGAGCCGTGAGATGGTGAAAAACATGTTTTCAGACACTCATTTAAATCCATGCCCACTGATCTCACTGTGTGCCTTATCATTCAACACTTTGTCGAGTATCATATTCTTATGCTAAGTACAAATTGCATCTCTTCAATCAGTTAAGTAACACAGAGGACAGTGGGGGTTAACTGTAGCTTGAAAGTGTGGTTGTTTGAAATATGAGTCCTTTGAAACCATGTCATTAGGTTTGGACTCTGTTTAAATCCTCTTTAAATGATTCTTTAAAATTCAGACAATTTGCAGCACTCAAGGACATTCTATCTCCCCTGCAACCCTTCTAACAAAACCGAGTGCTTCAAACGGCTCAAAAATATTGCACAACTGCGGCCTACAGGCAGATACAATAGTACAGTCCTTTATCAAGGAAGACGTCAAAAGTGGAGCCAATGCCTTCGGTTAGCTGCGAGAGAGGCCCATCATCAACCCCTCCTGCCATATTAAAGCAGTTTTGTAAAAAGCATCTCATTTCATAGGGAGTTTTCCTGCATTAGAATTAGAAACCAATATGGTGTGAGTGTGTCACATTACTGAGCAGAGACCCACTGGCTGCTCTTCATAATGAGGGAAAATTGGTTTCAACACAGGACAAGAGATGAGCTTCTGCAAAGTGTTCTGCACCGATGCACACTCTATGTGGACACTTTGAATAAAAGTAGTTAATTAAGTAAAAGAATAGTTCACCCAAATATGAAAATGCTGTCAATATTTACTATTATATTTTTGAAGAATGGTTACCCAGCTCTTGCCTTATAACAATAGTTCACTATGGGGAAAAAATAAATAAATAAAATAAAATTACTTAAAAACAGTCTCATACTTTTAATACTCTTATGGTGGTTTTATGATGCTTTTTATTCTTTTGATGTTTGACAGTCTCCTGATCTTTAGAATCTATGCCACACCACTCAGTTCAGTGCTAATATAACTTTTAAATTAAACATTCATAAAAAAACAGATTGTTGCAAATCAGTCCAGTGCAAGTTATTGACGTGTTTACCAGATACGGAGAAAATGAATTTTAGTTTGTTTTGAACAATGGCATCAAGGTAGCAGTAGCTTTACTATAAGCTGACACTAGCAACAACAAAGTCATGGGTTTGATTCCTAGAGAGCAGGTAGATGCAACACTGGTATTAACTTACTATAAAATGCAATCATTTAGTACTGGGGTGTATTTTAGGTATTTTGTAACATCATTCCAAAATAACACATTTTCATTAATGCACCACACAGATCTAAGTATGAAGTAATTTTAAAGGAAAGTGTATATTTAGGTGATTTAGGGCCCTATCACACACCCCGCGCAATGCGGCGCCAGGCGTGACGCAAGTGTTTTTTGCTAGTTTCAGCCTGATGCAGTTGTCGGTTCCCCATAGCGACCCCTAGAGGACGCAGTTCGAAGTTCCCATGAAAGGGAACCTGGTCTAAAGTCAATGGCACAGTATTTATTTATTTTTGTTATTTAAAGAGCGCGTTAGTATAGGCCGGTCCACAGCACGCGTACACTCTGCTTATTACACACACAGGGACGCACAGCAGCACACAGACATGCCAAATATTAAAAATTAAAGGATTGCAATGTAAAAGATTATTATTGTGTAGGCTACATAAATATAAAAATGCCTACATGTCATAATGGATAGTCATTGCATGTATCGTAGATAGATCGTTAAAATAGGGCACTTAAAGTTTATTAAAATATTTATTTTATCATATCAACTTTTCTTGCTTTTATTATATTGTGTATACTTTTACTATGCTTCATAATCTAAAGATGTGTCTATTATCTTTTTTATTAACAGTATACTCAGTATATAATATAAAAAATAATATTATAGGTTTCCATTTGCTATTAAATTTATCATATGGCACCTTTACAGTCTAAGTGTCAGGAACCTAACGTATGTCTGTGTGAACACATCCAACTTGTTTGTAATAAATTTAATTGACATGGATAATTGAGACAAAATTTCTAAGTTTAGAAACCTTTCCTGAATAAATTACCAAAGTGATGCACTGCAACTTGCTTTGAATAAAAAGCCCCTGCCAATTGAAGAAATGTAAATGTAGATTGTTTGTGACTGATTGCAACAAGATGTGTGAGTGTTTCTTCCAACATCCTGTCAAATATCGTCTGAAAAACCTTAGTTGAAAACTGTACAGAGAGCAGGAGTTCATTAATGGACCTGAACACCAGCATTGTGAAACATCCCTGCTGCTAGGAATCAGTTCTTTTCTCTTTCTCTTCCAAATACTGCAAATCAAATAATCAAGAGAAACAAAGTGAGACACATGCACACAAAATACAGGCATATTGTAATCACCAGCAAATAAATACATGATAACACGCACAAAGGGCATATGCAAGGGAGCACTCATCCGATCCTGTTCTGTACAAGGCTTTGAATTAGCCTGGAACGTTGCATTTGATCCTTTGCACGAGTCAAATCTAATCTCCGAGCTGTGCTTTTAACAGCAAACTTCATTTGGAATTATATTTGACTGTAAGTCTTAATCAAGTTCAATTTGTCATAAACAGCCACTTCTAATTAGCTACGTGTCCACATATCTTGTTTAATATATTCTAATTAATCTTGCTCATGAATGCTCCCTACGAGGAATTTCAATGTGACTGCTCTTGCAGAGAATACCATACCAACAAGACAATGAACTGTCAAGTCATGTGCATGTTGCATTAGATTAATTGCAGTTAGGATTAATTACGTTTTCAAAATCAAGCTCACGCCAATGATCAGATGAACTATGAGACGTAGTTGCTTATTACTGGCTCCATTTGAGTTTTAATGCCAAAAATGTGAATTATAATTAAAAGTAATAAACAAACGTGACATAGGGTTGTGTTCTCTCTCTTTCGCTCACTTCAATCATGCCAAAAATGTGTCACACAATAAACGTTTATGCTCATACTTTTTAATGTATCACAATGAGCAAGAAACATACTTGATGAAATATTTTCAAAGGAGTATATTCAATTACCATCTACAATCAACTTAACTAGGACAACAAGGTTTTTGTGACAAAAGTTTCTCTTTAAAAGTCTGAAGTTCCATGTGGTTTATGTATGTTAGTCTCCATGTAATTTGGTACAGTTTGGAAATCTTCATCATATAATTACAGTAACAAAAAGCTAACAAGACTACAGTATAGAAAAGACATCAAGAACAACATTTTTGGTTTAACTTGCTCTTTTTGTACATTGCAAGGCTGTAAGTTCTACCCTCGGATGGGCTACCTGGAGCCACAGAGCCGTGCTTGTGAGGCTCGGAGGAGGAGGAATAATTTGAGGAGAACGAAGGAGAGAGAGAGAGAAAAAAAAGGAAACACAAAAAGCATCAAAAATGCTGTGGCATCAGTAGCCACTAAAGGAACAGGAAGCTCCAGCAGCAGTTCATCATTGAAACTGGAGCAAATGTTTGTTTTTTCGTTTGGTTGCTTGTTAGTTTGGTTATTAATTTTGGTTGATTCGCTTTTTTGTGTTTTTCTGCTTCCTTAGGAATGACACCCAGGAATATCCCCTCCCCTTGAACAGTAAAGTCACCCTTTATGGTTGGATGGATCCAGTCGACTCCACGCCAGAGTGGAACCACGTGTCAGTCACTGAAGCGGGCAGGAGGAAATGAAACAGGTAGCAACACCGTGAACTGGGAGACAACGTATGCTAGTGTTTGAGTCCATCCCGTTCAGAAGTGCAGAAAATGTCCAAGTAGATGCAGAACCAGAGAGAGAGAAAAAGGAGATAAATTCCTCTCTGTGTCACATATGTCCACTGGTTGCAGAGTCCACTCCCGTCGGCATATAGTGTTAGTTAAATAATGACTTGATATCGGGGCGCGTCGGCCCTGCCTTTGGCTCCCATGCCCAGTTTTGGTGTGTCAACAACAGCCTTCTCAGACATCTCAATGACATCTCTCAAGTTTCCCAGAGTTCGTTTCTCTTTATTTCCTTTGTCATTTCAAAGAAAAGTGTTGATGTCTTCTTTAAATATATCTATATCTGTATACATGTTCATTTTCACAGTGGGCAAAAGGATGACCTCTACAGCAAAACCTGTCGTTTTCGTTCTCTCTTTGCAAAATGTCCACACAAAAAAAATAAAAAATAAAATCAAGTATCCCAATGAGAGCTGATGTATCTCAGCCACGTGTTGGATTAACCACAATAAATATACACTCATCAGGGGCACCAACTAAAGTTTTTCGTGTTTTCAACTGCATTAAGCTTTGGCCACATTCATATAATTAATGAAAATAATAACTGCTCAGTGCTTCGGTATCCTCTTTCACCACGTTACGCAATTATTGTGTTGAACATCAGACTTTTCAAACCCTTTACTGAAGATTCAGCTTTGCAGTTCAGTATGCTTTGGTGCGAAATGAAAGTAAAAAATAGAATACAAAGTATAAAAACTCAGACTGATGCTGGCTCTTATGAAACACACACACACACACACGCTCACGCTCGCACATACAAAGTCCATGCTGGCTGAAACAGTGAGGAATTCTTCCCCACACGAGAGCCTATAAAAAACGAGAACACTTTGGAAGCAAGAGATACAATGGTGTCAAGACAAACAAATATAGGAACATTGTAACACCATAAAGTGGCCAGAGAATGATAGAAAACAAATAGATGAGATTTCAATTTAAAGCTGGCATTGTAACATTCATTTATAAATGGACAACAACAAAATCTAAATAAAATAAAATATACAGTTATATGAAAACAACCATAAAGATGTTATCTGAGACCAAAAACAATGCAAAGCATTCAAAAATAAACTATACAATATCAGACTTCTCAAAAATAATTATGAACAATATTATAGATAACATGGATTGAGAGGAGTGGATCCGCTTGCAGATCAAAGGAACCCAATTTCAATAGCATGCACACCAAATCAAATTGTTCTGCAAGACATAATGCTTGTTTCCACACCCGGACAAGTGTGGAAATATGTTACTAAAGCCAAATACGTTTGCGCCCCCCTAAAGCATCTTTTACACATTTAAAAAAATGACTTGATTTGGAAAAAATCAATTGGATGGGGGCCATTTTGGTAAAACGCAACCGTTTCCATTGCAATGACTTGGAGTGAGGGACCTCTTTGGACACTTCTACCTTGTCACCATGCAAAACAAGGGACACCTAATACAAATCCTGCTTTCCCCAGTCTTATAATGCTTTGGGATGAAAATGCCCCTTACAGAACCGCAACAGACATTTCCTGCATGAAAATGGCTTTACACCCTGCAGACAACCAATTCCCTACTTGCTTTTTCAGGAGGAGAGGCCGACTTTGCCAAACAACCTTTCGTTCTGAGACTAGTTATAAATCAAGAAGCATGATGACACCAGATCAGGTTAAGATAAGCTAACCAGACAGCTTGCAGTATGTACATTTTTGGTAATCACTATGACTTGATGATCTAGTTCAAGTGAGTAAAGTCATTTAATGGCTGCAGGGATTCTGTTCACTCTCGACACGTCATAATTGAAGTGAGGTGAAATTCAGCAATCCATGATGGCAGAGTTACACAACAGCTTACAGTCACCTTAGAAATGGGATAAAATAGAATTATACTCAATTTGAATAAAAAGAAGCAGTCCTTGTTTAAGAAATGAAAACTCAGGTGTAGTATTTGGAATGCACTGTTATTTTTACAAACATTATAGAACATTGGTGTGTTCAAAAATGAAAAAAATAAGCTAAAATGTCCTTTGGAACATATATTCACAGTCTTCAAAGTTCCGTTTTTGCAACAAGAAGGGAAAAAAAGATGTTGCAGGGGCAAGGAAATGGTTTATTGTTTGTTTCATTTTCTTTCTTTTTTTTTTCCTTAAAGCTTAGCCAAAAAGCAAAAGGAGCATGCATCTAGGTATTCTTCCTTTCCAAATTTACATTAGCAGCAAAACATATGTCCTCAAAGACCATACCTTATATATATATATATATATATATATATTTTTTTTTTACAGAAAGAAAACAAAAGAAAAAATGGATTTCATGTGTGACAGAAACTTCAACCAAACCTCTATTTTACAAACTGCAATGGCTCTGTAACGGTGCTACTCCACAATGCAAGGACAAGGGCCCTTTTTGATTTTTGGTTTTCTTAGTATTTGACGTAAAAAAGCCACCTGTCTACTTGCAAAGAGGCAAAAACGGCAACTCTGATGCGTACTTCTTTTATTTTAAAACTTTGTTTTCTTTCCTTAAAAACAGCAACAAATTCTCAAGTATAAAGAAGCCTCTTTTCTCATCTTTATGCACCAATGGTGAAAGTGTTACATCTTTGGATTTTCTTTTTGTTTTAAAGCATGAGAATTACTATTATTATTATTCTTTTTTCATTTTCATATATGACAACACAAAATTTGAAATGAACATAAAACCTATAGCAGACTGAAGCCACACTACATGGAAACAAGTATCTGCTTTGTAGTGCTAAAGGAGAGGCAGTTATCTCCAAATCTACAAAGGCGGGGGGGAAGGAAAGAAAGGAGGAATAGATAGATAGAAAGAGAGAAATTCAGACAGTGGTAAGTGCACTAAGGTAACACAAATATAACTGAACAATTTTCAAACACACCCCAGATTTCTCTTCGATTTTGGTCAATGCTGCACCAACCAAAGGTGAGAAACCCCTTGTGACAAAGAGATTTAGCTGGGAGAACAAAAACCAGAAGCTGAGAATTGGACAGAAATAGAGTAGAGATCGTTTTTCTGCTCCTTAACCTAGTCTATTGGAATGACCAAGACAACATCAAATGAAGCGCCTTAAAGTTGGACAATACAAAAGCTAAATGTACACAAAGATTTTTCAATCTACCATACTGTTTAAATTCATTTCCAATGCAACAATCTACTGAACACCAAAAATTTATATATCTATCATAAATACAGAAAGTTTTTTTCCTAAAAAAAATCTTTTTCCCCCACCAAGTCTGCAATGCTCTTTGTGTCTGGGTAAAATGGGATTAGTAACTCTCCCAATAAAACAAAAACAAAAACAAAACAAAGCAAACAAATAAAAAATAAAATGATAATAATTAAGAAGGTTTAAAACCAGCAATTCAGCTACTCATTGAATGCCCAGAATATTTAGTTGAGTTAGTATCATTTCTGAATACTTTCTGCCAATAAATGTCATACAAAAACAGAAATGTCTATCATTTGTTTGGAACAAAATTAATTAAATAATGACTTTTTGTAATACAAGAAAAGGTTGTGAGCTGTTGACCTGAGAATAAAATAGACATTACATTATTTTTCTTTTCTTTAGCAAGCCATTGGTATCTGAATGCTTAGATAGCAAGAAAACTGTAAGACTAGTCTCCCATACAGTACATACTGGCTTTATGTGACTGTGCTATTAAGCGGAAATACTTTTGCAAACAAGGGATAGCTTGTTGACTCGTTCTTTGTAAAGAGAATTGTGGGGCCATTCAAACAACTGCAGTCCACTGCAATACAGCATTCCACTAGCAATAACCGACTTAACTGCTGTGATATATATATTAGGAGTTCTAATAAAATAAAACCAGCATGTTGATATGGGAAAACAATCCACTAACATTTAAATTTTTGGTTACAAGCTTTGGAATTGCAGTTAGCCTTCACAGATCTTTTTCTGAAATTGGTTTGTATACTTTAAACATATTTTAAACATTGCTGCTTTTTTGTTTTTTTTTCTTTTGTCTTCTGTTTTTTTTTCTTTTCTTTTTTCTTTTTTTAAATATTGTTCATCACTGAAAGCTTTTACAATCTGATGGAGTCCGATCCTATACTAGCGAGATTACTCATTTCCAATGCAACAATCTACTGAACACCAAAAATTTATATATCTATCATAAATACAGAAAGTTTTTTTCCTAAAAAAAATCTTTTTCCCCCACCAAGTCTGCAATGCTCTTTGTGTCTGGGTAAAATGGGATTAGTAACTCTCCCAATAAAACAAAAACAAAAACAAAACAAAGCAAACAAATAAAAAATAAAATGATAATAATTAAGAAGGTTTAAAACCAGCAATTCAGCTACTCATTGAATGCCCAGAATATTTAGTTGAGTTAGTATCATTTCTGAATACTTTCTGCCAATAAATGTCATACAAAAACAGAAATGTCTATCATTTGTTTGGAACAAAATTAATTAAATAATGACTTTTTGTAATACAAGAAAAGGTTGTGAGCTGTTGACCTGAGAATAAAATAGACATTACATTATTTTTCTTTTCTTTAGCAAGCCATTGGTATCTGAATGCTTAGATAGCAAGAAAACTGTAAGACTATTCTCCCATACAGTACATACTGGCTTTATGTGACTGTGCTATTAAGCAGAAATACTTATGCAAACAAGGGACAGCTTGTTGACTCATTCTTTGTAGAGAGAATTGTGGGACCATTCAAATAACTTTGAGGCAGTCCACTGCAATACAGCATTCCAATAGCAATAACCGACTGTTAACTGCTGTGATCTTTATTCATTTATATA